CTTGGACACACTTGCATTTTTGCAAAACTTTGGAAAGCAACAGTAATGTACAAACGGATATCTACCACTGATTTTTTCACGAAAATTTTTAATGTTTCTTTTAATCTGCTATAAAACATCAGATGTTCGCCAAATTTTATTTTATTTATTATTTAGCGTATGGCATAAATATACACAGTACATAATTAAGTCACAATTTAATATCTAAATTATAGATGTATTCAATCGTTGCTGGAGTCGCGTACAGGAAGTCCTCTGGATCACCGTCGTATCTTCTTATAGGACATTCGGTTGTAATGTGCTGGATTGTTTGCCTCTCTGCACCACAGTCACATTCGGGTCTTTGGATTTGGTCCCATTTATACCGGAAGTCTGCACAGTCTCCATGCCCAGTTCTTATTCTGTTTAGAGTGGACCAGACCTTCCGTGGTAGGCCAAATCCCGGAGGGGTAGTACTTATACCGGGCATGTCTCTGATAGCTGGGATGGCTTCGTTCTGTATGTTGCTCCACTGATTGTTTAACTGGAAGTCGTTTGCCCTCAGTTCTTCGGCTGTTCTCGTTGGCGGGTTTCTCGAACGCAAGCGATTGCGGTTGGCATTAGCAATTTCATTCTGGATTGGCAGGTTAGGGTTGTTCTGTATCTTCTTGAAGGTTTTCAGTAAGGCATTTTGCCGTCGTAGTTCTGGAGGTGGTATAAAACTTAGTAGCGGAAGCCATTGGGTCGGAGTGGATTTTATTGTACCAGATATTAACCGCATTGTTGTGTTTAATTGTGTGTCAACAAGTCTTGTGTGAGCACTATTCAGCCACACTGGCGCACAGTATTCAGCAGTTGAGTAGACAAGCCCCAGGGCCGAGCATCGCAGTGTGGAAGCATTTGAACCCCATGTTGTTCCGCATAATTTGTGGATTATGTTGTTCCTAGTTCTTAATTTGGCTGCTGTATTTTGGAGGTGTTGTTTAAAAGACAGTGTTCTGTCTAGAGTCACTCCCAGATATTTTGGGGTGGTGTTGTGTGTTAGCAGGTGGTTGTCAGCATAGACTTGGAGCTGCCTGTGAGCCATTTTGGTGTTTAGGTGGAAACAGCATACCTCTGTCTTGTTCGGATTCGGCTTAAGTCGCCACGACCTAAAGAAGTCCCCTAGTGTCGCAAGGTCCTCTGTGAGTACGCGCTCGGTAGTTTACATTGACTTGTCCCTGGTTGCAATTGCCCAATCATCCGCATACCCGAATTTTTGTCTTTGGGTAGGTGGCATATCTGATATGTACAGGTTAAATAAAGTTGGGGCGAGTACAGATCCTTGTGGAAGTCCGTTGTTTAGGGTCCTATTAGAGCTTTTTGCACTTCCCATGGAGACCGCGAAGCATCTACTACTAAGCATGTTGTTCATTAGTCGATATATTGTTTTGCATGGGATTACTTTTAGCAATTTGAATAGCAGATCATCCTTCCAGACCGGGTCGTATGCTGCCGTCAAGTCTATAAATGCCACTGAGGTCTTCAGTTTCCTTTGGTAGCCACCTTCTATGTAAGTTGTAAGAGCTAAAACTTGGTCTGTTGTGCTGCGCCCTGGTCGAAATCCTGCCTGCTCTATTGGGATGTGGCAGGACAGTACTGGGTTGATTCTATTAAGAACAAGTCGTTCAAGAAGTTTATATATTGCATTCAGCAGTGCAATCGGGCGGTAGCTTTCTGGCTTGTCGGCAGCTTTTCCAGGCTTTAGGATTGCAATTATGTTGGTTTGTTTCAGCTTTTTTGGGATTTGTCCTGATTGTAATATACTGGTGTAAAAATTCGACAACCATGTTCTTGCTGACTTTCCACAGTGTATCAAGAACTCCATTTAGTCCAGGTGCCAAAGATATTATTAATCTTGCACTATTGACAGAAAAATGTAGATTTTTAATCTGTTTTTTTTTCCGCATCTTATACGAATGATCATGAATACATGCATAACACAGTTAAGATATGCAAGAATAAACTACATTAACGATAAACTTTAAACCATGAATGTGTTTTCATCATATTCAAACGCAAAAGACTTACTATACTGCAGCAAAAATCAAAACCTGTAAATCGGTTATTATTTTCTCATTAAAATGTGCGTGCAAAAAATAATTTCAAATGAAAGTTGTTTACCATTTTCCAATATAATTCATAAGATTATTTGAATTACAAACACTCGGAACAGGAAAACTAGAACTAGATCGGTCCCTAGCATTTTACGTGCGACATAGATTATAGAGGCAACCGATAGTAGGTCACTGACGTATACACATGGAGTTCGTTACTATGGCAACCAAACTCTTAGTACGCGATTCTAGTAAACCGGCGCCGGTTTTCCATTGACGATGACGAACCAGTCTAATTCAGTCCAGGACCATAACGTGTACATTTTTCCCGTAGTTTCCCTAAGGAGACCAAGTAAGTATCAATTTATCGATGCCATATGTTACTTTGGTAAGATATTGAAATTTCTCAAATTCATCAAAACTACATAGCACATAATAATCTATAAAACTAACCAAAACTAAAAAACAAAAAATAATGTCTGCCCATTTTTGGAATTCTTAGAGCTATTCGAAACGACTGGAGTTTCCTATTTATTTATAACGAATTTTGTCTATAAACTTATAATTAGCAGTTTTTTTTTCTGTAAAAAAGTAAATAAGTAAAATGTATGTACGCTAGATATACTTTTATTTGAAGTCGAGAATTCCATAGATTTATAGTACGTACCTATACAGGTGCTATAATCACGTTCTATGTATTAAAATGTTGTGTTAGTTGTATTTTGTTGTATCGTCTTCATAAAGCAATACAACTTTGTCAATTTTTGTTACTTCAGTTTTCAAGTCAAGGTCAACTAGTAACTTGTTAGAAAAATTAGGACAAATACCGAATAACAAGATATTACTAAATTTAAATATTTCTTATTTAAATTTCGAGTAAACCATAAGTATAGAATTATGACATGAAATAAACATATACTACTTAACACATCACAACAAATACGAAGAAATGAATTGTCTATATCGAATGTCGACATCAATTTGAGATATGAGCCTAATGCAAGGCATTGGTTTACTAATTAGTGAATCTGAACCTCACTCTCATGCCGGTCCCAAATGGATAAAAAAATTCATTTTTTCGTAAATTGTCCAATAGGACGATTATGACCGGTACAGAACAATCGCGAAGTGTAACAAATGACAGAACGTAAATAAACGTTCGAAATATATTTGGCCAAATATTTCATATTAATTTCGATAAATACGCTGATATGATACAAAACTAACTTTACTAACAAGGAGCCAAAGTCTTAGATTGTTATTAGATTATACGGTACAACAGATGTGCTGGTTCAATTGCTGAAAATTTTCCAAATATCCCTTAATATTATAAATTATTTCTTACTCTACACTTAAAACACATTGCACTATAAACACTCAACAAATTAATACAGCGTAGCATATAATAGCATATAATTAGGTTTAAAATTACTATTAAAATGAAACTGAAGAAGTACTGTTTATCAATACTTACCGCGCCATCTCCATTCTAAAGGGCGAACAAGTAAAGTTTAAACAGAGACGAGCTGACAAAACACCGGCCATTTAGCGAACAATGCCTATTGTGTGAGTAACTCAGCAGTTGCCGAACATAATCGTGAAAGCGGAAATCAAATCTTCCATAGAAATCGCTTACAGCAACCAGTCACTGTATCTTTCACCAATATAGGAATCTGGCATCCAAGAAAATGTTCATGTCTCTTTGTAAGCTACGTTCCGCTTGAACAGTATATAAGCAGGTACAGAGTAGAAATTAAACCAGTGTCAGTTAGACTCTGAAGAAGCTATCAAGATAATTTGTAAAACGTCAAGTGCGATTCGGGAATATTTTGAAATCGTACTACGCCTGGGGAAGTTTCTTTGAAAAATTAATAGCTTATTGGAAATTATCAACAACATTTTACAACTATTTTGATTAAAATTTCGTGAAAAGTAATGTAATAAATCTAATCCGATTAAGAAGAATATGAAGTGTAGCTGATGTGGTAAAGAAAATCACGACCAAAGAATAAAACTGGAGATATTATGTGACTTGTTAAATAATTTGTGAAAATTTTTTAATGCATCCCTTTTTGAAAACAGTGAATTCCCCAGTGGTTAGTAATCTTGTAGTTATATTGGCGAGTACTAAATTGCACTATTTGATGGAGATTGAATTTATGATATTAGCAGTGTTTATACTGCGGTTTGTCCAAAAAATAATCGAGAACATTTTGTCGTGGTAGCAGAGAAAGTAATAAGACCACCTAATGATATTGGGACGTAATAACGTAAATTTTTTGTTTTAATTTATTTGATTAGCAATGTCGTTGCTAACAATTAATCGGTAATTCTTTGTAGTCTTCGTAGACAAAATAATAAGATCCCCTAATCAGTTTTTTTTTCATATAAACGCTGAAACACTTCTTTTCCAATTTTTGTCATTATTTCGTCCCGCCGAAAAATTTAGTGACCCGACAAACATACCAGATAGCACCCGTTATAGCGGGTATTTTTCGCTTTCTCTCTCGACCATGATATTCATTAATTAATTTATGTGATTCCATTTCAATAATACCCTGTATATACAGCAGTATCGTCTTCATGAGGCAATACAACTTTGTTAAATATAGTTAAAATCTACTTATTTTTTTTCTCAGTTAGGAAAACTGTTTAAGCTGAGACAGGAAAAAAGAATTTGTACAGTAAATATTTTGTTGATATATTTCTCAATTAGGACTGTGATTCTTTTTAACTAGCTGTGATATAATCAGAAACAATTTCGATTTGCATGGCTAAATTTGAAAGATTGAGTTAATGGAATCAGAAAATTCGAAATGAATTTTGGTACCCTGTTCTATCCTACTTTGCAAACCACTTAAGTTTTTATCGCAGAACTGCTTTGTTATAGATAATTTGGATACTTGTATGTGTTTAGTACTTAAATAATATTTGCCAAGTTAGTCAATTCTTCTATAAAAGTGATATGTTAAAATTACTTTTAGCAGTTTCCCGTCAGCATTCGTTAAAATCAAGTATAATCAACTAATCCTATAATTTATCGAAAACAATGTCTACAATTCATTTAGGAAAAGGTAAGCAGGTTTTGTAAATAAACATACGAGTATGTTTAAGTTTGAGTTGCGTCATTCTGATATCTTACAAATTCAGATTAAACATTGAGTCCACAATAACTTTTTTTATTAGTAACATTTCGCCTATATATTTTGGATATACTTAGCTGGAATGTCTTTGCGATTTAAACATTTTAAGGGATTCCTTATGTCAACATAAGATAATTTTCTGTACCCTTTCTGCAGGATCTGTTGAGCCACCAAGGAAAGATGGGCTATTGAGGGTTTATGTAATGAAGTTTTGTCCTTACGCTCTAAGAGCAAGGCTTGTCCTCAATGCTAAAGGAATTCCTCACGATACCGTGTTCATCAGACTTTATGAGAACAAACCGGAATGGTATCTGGAAATTAATCCAAATGGTAAGAAAACTGACGAAATAGTTAAGATTAAATCAAATCAAATGTACACGTAAGTATTTCCATACTAAAATACTAAGAATATACCTAAAAAAACGTGCTACACAATACACTCTTTAACTAACCTCTAATGTTATGATCTAACCCAAATTAAAATGTCTTTATATGAATTACACTCTGCATTTAGCTCAGTTTTTATTCATGGATTTTTGCAGATTTCAGATCAATTTTTATATTTAAAAAAGAGCTTTGACAACATAAATCTCTCATTTTGTTTTATTTTGTAAACTGCTATGAAATTTAGTTAATATTTTTAGTAATTTCCCTTTTTTGTTATAAGTAAGTAAATATTAATTATGGCAGTGTTCGATTTTTATTTTAGCGCGAATTGCATAAGAGCTATGAGGTTTATGTAAGTACAGGGAAAATATTTATAACGAAAAAACTCTAAATAGTAGAATGTTTGTATTGGTTCGTTAATTGGTTGGTCTTTATTTTAGGAAAGGTACCCGCTATATTAGATAATGGAAAAATAGTTGTCGAAAGTCTTGATATCTGCAATTATCTGGAAGAAAAATATCCGGAAAATCCGCTGTACCCGACTGATGCGGCGCAAAAGCAAAGAGACCAGGAAATTTTGAACAATTTAGGAAAATTCAATATACTGGCGTTCAGAGAATTTGTTATCAGCACTGAAGAAAAAAGCGACGACGAATGGATACAATTCTTTAACCAAAAATTTGAACCCATCGAAAGCGAGTTGAATTCGAGGGGATCGGTATTTATTGGAGGTTCGAAGCCAGGGATTGTAAGTTTTAGTTGGTTTTTCAGCACATCGTTTTGCAAACTTTTAGAAATTTATGCATTTTAGGTCGACTATATGATATGGCCATTTATGCCAAACTATTGGAACATTTCTAGAAAACTCAATCATGAGCTTCCGTTCCAAGAAAACGACATTCCGCTTTTTCGTAAATGGCTGCACGCCATGAACGAGTATCCTACTTGTGTTGAGCTATTCAACCCACCGGAAAAGCTTTGGAAACTGCAGCAGCTGATGAGTCAAAACGCACCCCTTGACTACGACAATCTTTGACATGTTAAGTGAATAAAATTGATTTGTAACTTTTCGTACTCAGTACTCTATAATACCTAATTATGCACTAATCAAAGGTACACAAAATGTGACTTTAAGACGTTGGCTTCTTCACCGTCGAGACCCACTTAAGACATTTCATAGACTTTAAGATCATAAACTAGTATAATATACTTTATAGTATTATACACTGATGATATTTTGATGTTTGTCAGACGCCAGTCATAGTATGCATTTGTTCTGTTTTTGCAGTAATGTACCCAAAAACTAAAGATCGTAGAAAAAGGATAGCATAAATAAACTTCTGACTAATGTCTCGTTTACCAAAGTGGTAATAATATAATATACTATTTTTCCTTTTTAAAATGCTCGAGATCAAAGTATTTCAAGTCTGATTCCTGACCTGTTTTCGTACAGCAGCATCTCATTCCATCGATTAGAGCGCTGACCCTTTAGATGTTGAATCTAGAGGTCGAGCCCCAATTAAATCGCCCGAATCAGGTATTTTGCAGGAATTTTTATTACGACCGAACATTTTTAATCGGAAAAGAATTTTTGGGGAAAGTTTAAAACACTTTTTTAATTGCAAATTTTTAAGTTATAAGCAACCAAAACAATAAACAAAATTTATCACATATACTCACATATCGCATTGGCTCTGTCTCCATGACGTTTCGCTCCTAGCTTCAAACCGTTTCAGACGTCAGGGCAACAGAGTCAGTATCCTAACCAAGATAAATCCATAACGGGTGTATCTACAAGTTATACAGCATGCAAAAATTTGAAAAAACAATTATCCCCCACCTTATTATTTTTATTATTATATAGCATTTATTGTCATAAAAGGAGGACAAAAAAATAAACCAAATTCTAAGCTTGAAAACATTTTTTTAAAACTGGTAGGACCAAAAAAAGAAAAGAATACTGGAAAAAGAAAAGAAAAAACATTAATTACTATAGATAACTATAGATTTTTTTGTTCCTAATAAATAAATAACCACTTTTAGATTAGATTACTAATTTCAACCTGGTAAGCATACAGAGTAAATAAACATAAAAACATAATCATAAGCATAGAACGGATAAATGGATCAAATTAATAAAGTTGAGATTATTACTATATTAGACTATGGATTTCATCTCTGGTTGTTTCAGTTTTAATAAATGTTTTTAATCTGATTTTAAATAAGGAAAGTGTTCTACTATTAAGCAATTTTATTATTTTTTATGAAACTGTTGCAGGCAGATAAAGAAAACATCTCTGTTTCAGTTTTAGATACCTTAGGCAGTGACTTCGTTTATTCTGTTTCTGGTTGACTAAAGATGAGCATAATTTCTAATAGGAATTTTATTTAAAAAGATTTGGACTGCTATTTTTTGAAAATCGAGCATCGAGGATACCTAATTCATTAAAAAATTGTGCTTTTTTATAACACCTATTCCTTTTATAAATAATTTTTAAAATCCATTTTTATGAAATATTAATTGCCGGTAAATATTTGTTTATCAACCCACTCTATGCTAGAATTTAAATGCTATTGAGCGATACCATTGTACAAAGTTTTAAGTTGGTCTAACTCTAAAATTGTTGTAAAAAATCTGAAAATTGTGTAAGTGATTTAAGATTTATTTGTGATTCATTCATCCTAAATGACTATCAACAATTACTCTAAAATACTTAAATTGATTACAAAATTTGATGTCAATACTTCTCGAATTAATTTGAAACTAAAGAAAGGGTATCATATAAAGGTACTTTATTGCTATGGCAACTAAAAGGCATAAGTCAGTTTTTGTCAAGATGGTTGTTGTTAAACGATTTTATGCATTCTATAAAATTACCTTGTATTTTTTCTTTTAAATGTTCCCAAGTATCAGTCTCATAGTAAGTCTAAACCATATTGCTATTCTGGTAAAATATTACTAGAATCGAGATGTAACAAAATTTGTTGTTTTAGAATTTCTTCAAATGACTTAGATAAATTGGTTAAGGCTTTCGCGGCCCGTTGATAAGCCATTTTCTTGGTTCGGGTTTAAAGGCCGTCGTCGATTGGAATTACTTTCTAACGTTTCGCTAGCACGAGTGGCGAGCTTCTTCAGAGGTCCTTCCATCTCCGATGTTGGACGTAGACTGACGATTTCTCCTGCGCAGGTTGTATTTATGCCGATTGGTGGTGGGCGGGGCTTGTTCCGCTTCGGTTGGTCTCGGGATATCGATCGGTACTGCTCGGGCGTTCCTAAGGATCGGGTTCCAGATTTGGTTGAGTCTAAGGGTCTCCTCCTTTCGGTTGAAATTGTGTGGGTGTTTTTGTATCTCAATGGCTTCCCTGACTAGTCTGTTGTGATAGCCGTTGACCGATGCTAGTAACTTACAGCTCTCAAAGTGTATCCTGTGTTCCCCGCTGCTCAGTGCGTGTTCAGCTACTGCAGACTTCTCTGTATGTCCTAGCCTGCAGCTTGCTTTATGCTCCTTAAGTCTCGTTCCCATTGATCTCTTGGTAGTCCCGATGTAGACCTTTCCGCATGAACACGGAATGCGGTAGACTCCTGCAGCTGAAAGTGAGCCCCTCTTGTCCTTCGCTGACCTGATGGTCTGCTGGATCTTCTTTGTAGGCTTAAAGATTGTTTTGATGTCGTGGCTTTTCAATACTCTGCCAATCCTGTCGGTGACACTCGGAATATACGGCAGATATGCGTGGGAGGTGGAGGGTCGTTGTTCGGTATCCCGTGATCTTGGTGATCTTGAGTTCATTGATCTCTCAATCTCCCTCTTGCTGTAGCCATTTGCCTCGAACGCAGTTTTTAGGTGTTCAAGTTCCATCAGGAGGCTCTCCGGTTCGCAAATCCTTCGGGCTCGTTCTGTCAGGGTTCTGATAACCCCATACTTTTGACTTGGGTGATGGTTGGATAGAGCATGCAGGTATTTGTCCGTATGGGTTGGTTTTCTGTAAACTGTGTGGCCCAGCTTCTTATCTCGCTTCCTCACTAGTACGTCCAAGAATGCAAGTTGTTGGTCATTTTCAGTCTCCATAGTAAACTGGACGCTGGGATGCTGACTGTTGAGATGCTGCAGAAAATTGTTGAGCTTGTCCATACCATGTTTCCAAATTACGAAGGTGTCATCCACGTACCGGAACCACGTTGCTGGCTTGTACTCTGAGGTCTCGATCGCTTTTTCCTCAAAGTGTTCCATAAATAAGTTGGCTATAACCGTTCTTCTGAAGACCGAGGAGTATGAAAGGAAGATTGAAGAACTCTTGGACCCAGGAAGCTACAAACCCCTGAAAAAGGATCCGACGCAAGTTAGACTACGTCTTACCAACCGGCTCATCAAGTCATCATCACTGTCAGAAGAAATCAAGAAACGCATTGTGAGGACGGAGACTGTTCCACCAAGGCTCTATGGACTACCTAAGATACACAAAATAGATGTCCCGTTAAGACCAATAGTTAGCGCACCCGGATCACCAACGTATTACTTGGCTAAACACTTGGCATCGCTGCTCCAACCACACGTAGGAGACGGCACCAGTTACATCAAGGACTCCACCGACTTCGTGCGCAAGATTCAAGACATCAATATTGAACAAAACGACATCCTTGTGAGCTTCGACGTCGTCTCACTGTTTACCAAAGTACCTCTGAAGAGTTGCTTGGACCTGGTGAACAGGATATTTCCTGTCGATATTTGCAAACTTTTTGAAGTCTGTCTGACCGGTAGCTATTTCGTGTGGAAGGGACACTTCTACGAACAGGTGGACGGAGTGACAATGGGAAGCCCACTAAGCCCGGTTATAGCCAACTTATTTATGGAACACTTTGAGGAAAAAGCGATCGAGACCTCAGAGTACAAGCCAGCAACGTGGTTCCGGTACGTGGATGACACCTTCGTAATTTGGAAACATGGTATGGACAAGCTCAACAATTTTCTGCAGCATCTCAACAGTCAGCATCCCAGCGTCCAGTTTACTATGGAGACTGAAAATGACCAACAACTTGCATTCTTGGACGTACTAGTGAGGAAGCGAGGTAAGAAGCTGGGCCACACAGTTTACAGAAAACCAACCCATACGGACAAATACCTGCATGCTCTATCCAACCATCACCCAAGTCAAAAGTATGGGGTTATCAGAACCCTGACAGAACGAGTCCGAAGGATTTGCGAACCGGAGAGCCTCCCGATGGAACTTGAACACCTAAAAACTGCGTTCGAGGCAAATGGCTACAGCAAGAGGGAGATTGAGAGATCAATGAACTCAAGATCACCAAGATCACGGGATACCGAACAACGACCCTCCACCTCCCACGCATATCTGCCGTATATTCCGAGTGTCACCGACAGGATTGGCAGAGTATTGAAAAGACACGACATCAAAACAATCTTTAAGCCTACAAAGAAGATCCAGCAGACCATCAGGTCAGCGAAGGACAAGAGGGGCTCACTTTCAGCTGCAGGAGTCTACCGCATTCCGTGTTCATGCGGAAAGGTCTACATCGGGACTACCAAGAGATCAATGGGAACGAGACTTAAGGAGCATAAAGCAAGCTGCAGGCTAGGACATACAGAGAAGTCTGCAGTAGCTGAACACGCACTGAGCAGCGGGGAACACAGGATACACTTTGAGAGCTGTAAGTTACTAGCATCGGTCAACGGCTATCACAACAGACTAGTCAGGGAAGCCATTGAGATACAAAAACACCCACACAATTTCAACCGAAAGGAGGAGACCCTTAGACTCAACCAAATCTGGAACCCGATCCTTAGGAACGCCCGAGCAGTACCGATCGATATCCCGAGACCAACCGAAGCGGAACAAGCCCCGCCCACCACCAATCGGCATAAATACAACCTGCGCAGGAGAAATCGTCAGTCTACGTCCAACATCGGAGATGGAAGGACCTCTGAAGAAGCTCGCCACTCGTGCTAGCGAAACGTTAGGAAGTAATTCCAATCGACGACGGCCTTTAAACTCGAACCAAGAAAATGGCTGACTTAGATAAATTACTGATAAGTGAAATGGGTCTATAATTGGCAACCTTTCATTTTCACCTGTTTTAAACAAAGATTTAAGTATAGCTTTTTTAAATGATTCTGGAACATTTCCATTTTTGATTGATTGGCTAAGTGAGTGAGAGGTTTTTGATACATTCTGAATTTTTTTTCTTTGTAAAATTTCATGTTAGATGTTAGACAATGCTTTAGTTATGTTTGTAAGATCGAACTTAATTTTTTTGTCAATAATAGTT